TAACAAGACCATGCTGCTAACAGTACCATGCTGCTAACAAGACCATGTTGCTAACAGTACTATGTTGCTAAAAGAACCTCTGCCAACAGAACCACTTTGCTAATAGGACCCTGCTGCTGTAGATGTATTTCACATTTCACTTTTGGTGCCTTGTTTTGTATTTTTGTTTCTTGCTTTCATATTTCTTGTTGCTGTTTTGGTGAGTCGAGACGGTTCTTCTTGTCCTGAGCATTTCATTGCTCTGTTGACCTTGTGTTGCTCTGTCTGCATCTGACAAATAAACCTAACCTAACCAAATCTAAACCAGTCTATCAGACTCAAACTCCAACACACCAAAGGAAATGTGTGCAGAGTTCAGAGACAGAACAGTTTCAACGCACAGACCTGAGGACTACAGACACATTTCTGCTGGACTGAAGGTTCATCTCAGCTCAGAGGCCTCCATAGTTTTTTAAAAAGGGATGTTTGGTGCATCCAGGACTCTTAAGAAATGGTCACACTGAGCATTTGAGGAAGAAAAACCTGATCCCGGTCCTTCTGTCTGAGCTTCAGAGATCCAGTGTGGAGCTGGGACCATGTTCCTGAAGGACAACCAGAACTGCAGGTCTCCACTGATCGAATAAAGCATAAAGTTATTTAAAGACCATTACCCTCTCAAGCAGACTCATTTCCTGGAAATCTGGACTGGTGTTGGCCAGCCGCTGCAGCGTGTGCGTTAGGTCGAAGTCCGTGCAGAAGTAGAATCCATCTGTGGTCAGCACGTTGCTAATCATGGACAGGAAGGTCTTATTCTCCTGGGACTAGAAAAAACAAACAGGGCATGTCTTTTATTTTTTTTAATCAAGGTCTTCACTGAGACTGTGTGTAGTTACTGTTCAACAATTCTGGATCTGTGCTGGATGTTCGGTTTCATGATGCACCAAATGTTTTCAGTTAATGAGAGGTGAGGACTGCAGGCAGGTCAGCTCAGAACTCGGACTCTGCTGTCTCTGCGGTTGGAGGTTTAGCAATGTCTTGCTGAAATGTGCAAGGCCTTCCCTGAAAAATACGTCTGGATGGGAGCAGAAAGCCTGAAGGTATTTTTCTGCATTGATGGAGCCTTTCCAAATGTGAAAGTTGCCCAAATCATTGGCACTAATGCATCCCCATACCATCAGAGAGGCAGGCTTTTGAATTGTGTGCCAATATCAAGCCTGATGGTTCCACTCCTCTTTAGTATTGTATAGTCTTTAGATCACTGAACAGTTCTGGACTTTGCCTCAGTCCATGTCAATGAGCTTATGTCCAGGTCCACAGAAGACGGCATGCGGATCTGGATGTGTTCAAATTTAGCTTCTTCTTTGCCTGATGGAGCTTTAAGCAGCATTTGTGGACAAATTAATACATTCTGTTCTAATTTATATTGTACATAACTTTTTCAGGAGTTGTACATCATGATCTTCCTCAGGTGTGTGATGACCAGAGCCTGACTGATATATCGGCAGTGCTGATGTTTTAGGCCGATACAGGCGTTTGGGGACATATCGTATCTGTGATATTTGTCCCATTGTACACCAATATAAACACTGGGAACAAGCTGTGTCCTTACTGGCAAAAGGTGTAATTGTACAACGTATGGCCATTCACTTGAACTTTCACATTCAGCACAGCTGAAGCAGCGAGCAATACAGTGCAGCACAATTTGCTGAACAGAGCATGGGAAGTTTATTTAAAATGAACTGTAAATTAAATAAAAATCAACAAAAATAAATTCTCTTCGATCCTCCAACCCGCTTGTCATTAGCTACATGCCTCTCAAGTCAGCAAGCTAACGTTTAGATAACCTAGCATAGGCTATTGCCTTGTAAAACTGTATCCAGAACAATCAATTTAACGTAGAGGTAAAATATATCAGTGTTAGTAGTTATCTTTGTTGTCCTCGATGAAATGCATTGTTTGGCTGAAATCTTTACTCGTCTGCAAAAATAAAAAAATAAATAAACACTGCTGTGGTCAGTACTAATTAGACCTTCACTGTACGCGACTGACTGTTCAAACAATGAACAGGGAAGGAGTTTCTTCGTTTAATTTATAGTTTTCTAACAAACTTGATAACTTGTTGGTGAATAGTGGGGGATAGAAAATGTGAACGCATGTTAGAAAGACTAGTCCAAGACTTCAAGTGTTAAAACAGGTTTAAAAGTAGCTGCTTACTTAGATTCTTGGAGGTGGACAAAGTAAAAATAAATTCAGCCATTGTATCAGTTATTGGCTTTAGTCTTCCCCTCCAAATACTGGTATCAGCAATAGCCAAAATTTCTATATCGGTCAGGCTCTGATGATGACCCTCGATCCCCAACTTTTAGTGTTCCTTGGTTCAGGACTTTGCTCACCTGGATCTCTGACAGATGCAGAACCGTCTTCTTGTAAGAGATAGCATCAAAGTCCACAGCCTTCCACACAGAGTGGCCCAGGAGGCTGCCCACGTTCCTCTTCCTGGTGATGACAATCAGGTACATCCCTGCATGGCGTACGACGTCAATCACAACTCATCGCACCAAACCAGGTTAAATATGTATTGAACAGAATCATGACAGCAGTTAGTACGTACCTGCCACCAGGCGAATAGTTCCCATGATACCACAAATGGGCCTGGTAACTGCTGACGTAGGAATATCCTTTCTACCTGTGAAAGGACCAAAAACAATGAATGGTCTTGTCCGTCTGGTTGTCCATCCATCTATCCATCCATTATCTTCTGCTTGTTCTGAACTCAGGTCGTGGTGACAGCAGCTTGAGCAGGGAGGCCCAGACATCTCTTTCCACAGCCACCTCTTACAGATCTTATGGGGGAGACTCTTAAGGCATTTCAAAGCCAACCAAGAGACATAGTCTCTCCAGCATGTCCTGGGTCTTCCCCGGGATCTCCTCCCAGTCAGATATGCCTGAACCACCTCTCTAGGGAGGGGCCCAGGAAGCATCCTTACCAGATGCCCGAACCACCTTAACTGGCTCCTCCCAATGTGGAGGAGCAGCGGTTCTACTCTGAGTCTCTCCGGATAAATGAACTTCTCACTCTGTCTCTAAAGGAGAGTCCAGCTACCCTGTGGAGGAAACTCATTTCAACTTCCTGTATCCACGATCTCATTCTTTCAGTCACTACCCAGAGTTTGTGGCCATAGGTGAGGGTAGGAACGTAGACCGACCAATAAACAGAGAGCTTTGCCTTACAGCTCAGCTCCATCTTCACCACAACGAACCGGCACAAAGTCTGCAATACTGCAGCCACTGCACCAGTCCGTCTGTCAGTCTCACGCTCCACTCTTTCCTCACTCGTGAACAAAACCCCAAGATACTTGAACTCCTCCACTTGAAGCAGAACCGCACCCTCGACATGAAGAGAGCAATCCACCCTTTTCCGACTGAGAACCACGGTCTCAGATTGGGAGGTGCCGATTCTCATCCCAGCTGCTTCACACTCAGCTGCTAATCACTCCGGTGAGAGCTGAAGATCACGGCACGATGACACCAACAGGACCACACGATCTGCAAACAGCAGATATGGAACCCTGAGGCCACCAAACCGGACTCCCTCCGCCCTCTGGCTGCACCAAGAAATTCTGTCCATAAAAGTTATGAACAGAATCAGTGACATCAGGCAGCCCTGGCAGAGTCCAACTCCCACCCTGAAGAGGTCCGACTTGGCGGCAAGGCGAACCAAACTCTCGCACCGCTTGTATCCACTTTGACGGCAGCCGGCACCAGAAATGCTTCCCCTCACCACCGCTGCTGTTGGTACTTGTGAATAATGACAGAAGTCTACATGAAAACCTGAACATTCACACAAATCACTGAGATTTTATAGATGAAGTTGCATTTGGACAGCAGCAATCCACTTTGGTCTCTCAAAATTAAATCACTCCTCCAGAAAAGAAGCTATCTACAACAGGTAAGACAGTGCTTTTTATTAACCAATATGAAATGGCCAGAATATCCTTTACAGCACTGTTTTTAGGACCTGTTTCCAAGGCGTCAGTAAAACTTGGTTAAATGTCCCACCTGTCAGGATCATCTCGTTAGAGACCCTGTCAATTGCCAGCACAGCATCTGCTCCTTCATCACAGGCCTCGATGAAGAACTTCTCAGGGGTGGTGTGCCTGCGACAACAAAAGAAAACACCTGACCATTTATGATTACCAAGGTGTAACAGAGTATTTACCTGAGCTAAGTACGCAGTTATTCATCACCTAAATAAAAGCATGCACCACAACACTCTGAGGGAACAGAGCAAAGTTTAACAAGTCCACAGCTGTTGTAGTGTGGATGCTGAGTCAGAATGGATTTCCTGTTTTCTAGTTTCTTCTGTAAACTTCTTGCAAACAGAGACAGTGTGGTATGACGACAGTTTTATAACTTCTGTACTTTTTGAAAAAAATTTTTAATTTACAAAACATCTGCATAAAAATACAGCTTTTAGCTACAGGTTTGTTAATATTAGCTTTTAGCTACAATTTAGCTTATTTCGTCTTTTAATAACTTTTATTTTTTGCCAATAGCTATACTTATTATTACTTAATTATTATTACTTATATACTTATTATTAGCACTTTTTTCATTCATTCAGTCAACCTTTATTTAAACAGATACATCACATTGAGCCTCCAAGACTCATTTACAAGTGAGACCAGTTTGGACAGACAAAAACAGTGGTTAACTGGACACATGTAGGAGTTGGAGGCGAAAAACATTCCTATCAGACTTTTTTCTTGGCTGAGAAAAACCCCTAATATTGAAAAAACACTTTGCACAAACAAGCACATATTAACGTAGACATTCTGCAGAGCAGGAAGAAGGAAGAGACGAGACTTATTTTAGCTTTTACTACGGTTCTTTTAATTTTAGCTACACTTTTGTTTGAATAAACTGAAACAACTCAGTTAATACTTTCTTCAACACAAGTCTACTAACATCAGAATGTGCTTTATTATTATTGCTGCAACGGATTCTGAAAACTGCAGATACAGCCAGGATGTAAAAACTGAATCTGTGGGCCAGATGAACCGCTGGTGATCTGAACGCCCACCGTCGGTGGAGGGTTGGTGAACTTTGTAATGACGGAACATGTGGGTCTATTTCGTAATCATAGTATTCAGCACTAACATCAAGTGATTGTCATGCAGCCCCCAGTTTAGAGAGGCCTGTCACCTTAAAACAGCTCCAAACTTCAACATTTCATAACAGATCATCCAAAAGTATTTTTTATTATTATATTTTCCTTTTTCCACAACAAACCACGAAACCCAAACAGGACTCCAGTCAACCATCAGGTGAAAAGGAGGAACCCAGACCCAGACCAGTGGTCATTCCATATGTTGAGGGAGTATCAGAGAAACTGAGACGTTTATTTTCTAAACATAACGTCCCAGTGGCTTTTAAACCCCAAAATACATTACAGCAAAGACTGGTTCATCCCAAAGATCCAGTCCCCCGGCACAAACAGAATAATGTTGTGTATGCTGTTCAGTGTCAGGAGGGTGATCAGTCTTACATCGGGGAAACTAAACAGCCACTGGCCAAAAGGATGGACCAGCACAGAAGATCAACATCATCAGGCCAGGATTCTGAGGTCTACACTCATCTCCAGGCCAGCGGTCTTCAGGGATGAAGATGTTCACATCGTTGATATAGAGGAACGATTGTTTGAGAGGAGTGAAACTGACCATCATTAAACAGGAGTGGAGGTCTCTGTGTCCAACTGTCCCCCTCTTACAATGCTGTTATTGCTAGTATCACTCAGCCCCCTGTGAATAGCAAGCAGCCATCAGGGCACGAACAATCAGTGATTAGACTGACGGTCCTCCTTGATCATGTGAACAGCTAAATGTGGATGTCATCAACAAACTGGTTGATCCAACATGAGGTGTTATTTATAAGACTAGAGTTTATTGCAACTCCTCAAACTGAAGAAGTCTTTTGGATAAAAGATGAAACTTTTCAACAATTTTTTAAAACTTTTTTTTAAATCCGTCCAGAGGACCCGACTCAACTTTGTTAGATTTTTCTACCTGGATTACTGAGCATGCACGAGGATGCATTTCCTCTCGTGTTCGCACATACAAGTTTTGACCAAGACAGTTACAACTCCATCATTCCTCAACAAAAGATTATATCAGTCGAAAACTCTGGCAGGACCATAGGCACTGAGGAATGCTGAGCTTCTCATCTATTATTAAATTAATGTAGGCAGTAAATATGTAACTTTCTAAACTCTCTCTGGGGCAGATGCAAGTTCAGCAACAGTTTTAACCCTCCTGCTGCCCTTGGGTCTCCTGGGTCATTTTGGAGGGTTAAACTCCTGCAGGAGGAAAGGCCTCCTGCTGCTTGGTCCAGTGAAGTTTGTGGTCAGCAGCTGCAGGGACACACTGGTCTTGTTGGGTAATCCAGGCCAACACGGACAGAAACAGTTAAATTAGGGTCAGCCTAATTTAATCTCCACAAACTCGTCCCTGACCGTTTACTTTCCACCGGACGAGCTCATGGATTCATGTTCAAACTGGAGACAGGGCGGAGGACAACAGGTAAGACTGGGTGGCTCGCATTTTTAATAACGTCTAAGAACAAGGGTGTGACTGGAAAAGTACACACACGGCAGGTTTTACACAAGAGTTAAATGGACGTGAACTGCCGCCAAAGTTCGGCGTTACTTCCGTTCAGTAAAACCGCTGAGAGGTTGACATAAATTATAATAACGTCCCCCCTGCAGCGAGTACTGCACTCCGTCAACTGGACGACAAAACGGAGCATATAGTCGCTGTAAAAAAACGTCCAAACAAGTTTCCATAGCGCCAGCAGGGTTCAGGTGAAATGAATGGAAGTCGGCTGGTTCCTGTAACTTCAGCCGCAGCGTCACCGAACTTCTCGGGACCGCTGAGCTCCACAGGTTCTGCCTCCGAAGCAGCCAACAAACCAGAACGAACGATAAAAACGAAACGAGAATCGAAATTAAATGACAGCTACTCACAAATTGTATCTCTCATAGACCGTCGCCATTTTCCTTCCGTCTAGCTGACCCCAGTGACGTCAGCACAGCAACGCGCGCAGCTTC